AACGTAGTATTTAACGTTATAACGTTAAAGTATCTACATTGATTATATAAAGAAAAACGCATGAAAAATGTCTCAGATAACATCGTTGTACAGGTTAAATCTTAGGCTCTGTTTCAGGTCTTCGGTAGTTATCAACTGAAATTTATAAGTATTTCTAGTATCGCCAAGGTAGGAACTGCATATAATTTCTTATACGATAAATATAGAAATCTGGTAAAAAGTTAGTTTTCATTTAGCCGAATACTTCCAGTTTCCTTTCGTACAAAAGTCTGCCATTAGTTTCAGATATAAAGTCCATTCGGGTGCATTGATTTACGAAATTTAAATACAGATAATGACTATGTTTGTATGGAACACTGTTTCATTGGCTAAATGAGATGCATGAGTTCTATAAATAAAGAGGATTTTGTTTTAGTGTTATTGTTCACTATTTGTTGATGGCCTGCTGTAACAAAAACAAAACGTTATCTCCCTAAAACAATCAGCTATTGGTATAATCTTCTTTACAATCCATTACATTCAAGCAAATTATGTTTAGGTAAATACAAATTAAATCTATGACGAAATATGCATATGTGTTATAATTATGACGTCACATTGTGACAGTATCATTAACACGATAATATACATCCAGTTCACTGCTGTATTTAAGTAATAGACATAGAAATCTTTATTTACAGTATAACATTGTTTTGTCCAGACAAACATTGACACCCTTTGTGGCGTCCTAGAAAAGAATTACACATGTACACTGAACGAAATAAATATACATCTGGCATATTGAAATTTTAAAACATGTCACCTGATAGGACAGCTTCAATTTGAAGAATGAAGGAATAAAAAAGCATTAAAGAGATTCTTCTTGTAGAATTTTAATATCAATATGTAGAATTAAATGAATCTATAAATGAGTTTATCGATGTATAGATTATAGAAGTGCACGCGGAATAAACCGCGAATTATCCAGTTCACATCGGTCAACGAGTTGACAGAAGACTTGCATCAAATTATAACAGACACCACTTTGGTGTAACCGACAGTAATGACATTGGGAAGGATAAATGGAAGTCATGTCGTGTTTATATAGTCCTAGACGACTATAATGTCTTAAATAACATTCGTTGATCCCTCGCTTGATGTACAGAGTTGTCACATCGAGGTACCCTGGGAAGTCTCCGTCTCTAACTACAGATTGACTGTAACAGGTTAAGAAGAAAATATATCCGGGTCCTTGGAGTCATCAAACAACGCTACTAATTTCCAAAATACTAATTTAAGCTGATCGAAAATTTCCTGTGTGACATTCATCCATTAGGATTGAGGCTGGTTTTGATATTGAGATTGACTAAAAATCATTGGCACTGCCTACGTCATTGATATGTCAAATTCGTCCCATCAGGTCTTAAACATATACCAACCATTTCGTTAACGTATAATTTCGCTCCGGTCTGATCCGTAATATATACCGACTATGACACATGAGATCACCGCAGTGTGCCTGACGGAGTGAGATATTGCTAACGAGCCTTTACATGGTTTTGTCGGTGATTTTTCAAATGTCAAAAATGTGGTTAGAAATGCCATTTTTCATTTAAGTGACATTGACAATATGACTTGTGGTTAAGCGTGATTTTTATAAATGTCTGTACACGATAAAAACCATAAATCATTAATCATACTTCACAGTAATGTTTACAACTGTGATATGGACATTAAAACTGTTCAGATTAAATTTTTTAAAAGCCAGTTATTTATTGTTATATGTTATTAGGTAAACTTATTAGTGCTGGATCCCGAGACGAATACCTTTACTTTATCTGTCCTCAGGTCACAAGACACTAGGAACATTTGTTTGTTTAGTCAGTAGCCCTGCCACCGATAAAACAACCAAGAGTTTCCCCCTCCATTCCCGTCTATTTTTTACCTGCTTAGTCGTAGCTGTTACTATTACCCCAAGTACAATCTAGGAGTGGCCGGATGGCGCAGGTGTAACACCCTCGCCATTCAATGTAACTCCCTCGCCTTTCAATGTAACACCCTCGCCTTTCAATGTAACAACCTCGCGTTTCAATGTAGCACCCTCGCCTTTCAATGTAACACCCTCTCCTTTCAATGTAACACCCTCTCCTTTCAATGTAACATCCTCGTCTTTCAATGTAACATCCTCGCCTTTCAACGTAACATCCTCGCCTTTCAATGTAACACCCTCGCCTTTCAATGTAACACCCTCGACTTTCATCCAGACGCCCTGGTTTCCGACAAGGGATCACCTTCCGAACCACGGAAGTGTTCCTCTCGTACAGTACACCTGTTTCAGTATTTAGTAAAAGTCGGATGACTATCTGAAACCCATCGCGTCATGCTATTTCATCTCTACTCATTTATCCATCTTATCTCGTCAGCTGAAAAGACGTATTAGTCGACCTAAAACTCGTTAGATAAATAAAAAATAAGTTTTGTAATGATTGTAAAATAAATAAAGTTTATATTTATTTGCATTCTATGCTCGTTGTCCGTACAGTTTTAGGAATGTATCTATAATTATCATATGTTTGTGATTACAGAAAAAATATCTTTATTACGTTGGTTTTCGGTTTTCCTGAATGGCAGTGGTCTATTATATATATCCTGCAACTGGCACTGTCATTGTCGGAATACACCTCCCACATATATTGTTGTCTATTCAGCAATGACGGAAAACGGCTGCATTTCAGCACGTGCGGTAATTCGACAGAATTGCTTTCTGAATTTACTTCAAAATTACGTTTAATGATATGCATAATTGTTGAAGTAAGTGATTTTATATGTTGTAATGAATCAGTTTATTTACGAATATTCATAAAATGTCGAATGAAGTTTGAAACTATGTTTCTATGCGGAGCAATTATTTTTTCTCGTACATCATCAATCAAAAGTCAGCGTATTGTCAACAACATGTAAACAAAGATTAAACAACAAAACTGCTGAAGTTTTGATTGTCTGATTTTCAATCAATTTTGCAGGATAAATAAAATACATGGTCAGTGTCTTAAAATATCAGTTGTATTTAGGCGAGGGTGAAGAATGACCAAAGAGGCGAGCCTCTGGTGAAGCACTTCTGTCGTCTGTCCCAAGCCAAAATACGGCCTATATTAAAAAAAAACAAATCGAACCCCGGATGCCGAGGTGTACATTGTCATACAAAACAAGTTCTAATCGGGTCTGAGCATTGTCATTATGTCGTGGCTATCACAAAAAAAAAAAAAAAAAAATTAAATAACACCGATATTTCAAAATTTTTAAAAAGAAGCTATATTGATCTGCCAGTGAAAAACATTACATGCCTTTGACAGGCGCCTGGTGATTTAAAAATCAAAACAAACCACATTGTTTTAACGAATCAGATTTTTAAGCCGCAGAGCCAATATGTGGCTGTTTAAAGGTCAAACATTGTAATTCATCAACATAACTACCACTTCATCTGCATTTGTGAAGATTGGCCGATTTTTATCATATAAATGTTATTTCACAAAATTGGTTAAGGAATACGAATATTCTCTAAGCGTTTTAACCATTTCAGAGAGTGTGGTTGTAGGATACAATATGAAGAATTAAAAGTGATCAGTTGTCGAATTTGTGTAATCTTTTCCTTAATGTAGTTTCTCTTCAAGTCTTCCGAAAGCATTGTGATGCAAAAATTTCTATTTCAAATACAATCCATCGTTTCAATAAGATACAAAAAAAAAGGATTGATTTCGATGCCCGAATATAAAAAAAAATCTCTAAACAATTGATCCGTAGAACATTTCGAAATATTTTGCAAGGAATTCAATACTTTTATGTCAAAGACTCGAAGGATGAAGTTCATGGCTGCTTGAGGCGAAGTCATTTATTTCTTACAGTTTCGAAGTAATCGATTGATTGTGGGCCACCAGATGACAGAAAATAGATTATATTACACCATGGCAAGGCAATTTACTCAAAAACTGAATACAAGAAAATTATCAAAATCTAAGACGTATTTGCACATTGGGAGGGTATTGACGACCCAATTACTTGTAAAATGTCAGCCATGGAAAACCTGCAGCATTTCGTCAGTCCCCTTCTACATTTCCTTTTTATTTAATCAATGGAGAGGAATTTAATTCATCGTTCCTATGTTGCATTAATACAGCTGGTAAACAGGTACTGAAAAGGTGTACATATTTTATATCCCTAGACAACGAATAGATCTGCGGTTATGAAAAATAAGATAAAGATTAAATCATTTCTTGCCAATAACTGGAATTGCAATTAAATGATGAAGTTGGTATCACTGGAATTAAAATCTGGTCGCGAAAAAGCTTGAATCACTCCGGAGAATGAGGCCTATGCAGTGTACTGATTCCTATGGGAAAGGTGGGGTTTCCTATGTCAAGTCGCCTTGGTATCGGAGCAGAAATGGTGGCTTGACATGATTAGAATAAAGGTTTCACTGTATTTGTAGTCAGAGGTCGTGTCTAGCAGTCGTGGGGAACAGAACGAAAACCTTTTTAATCAAGGCTGTGCGGGCCTGTAGAAAGCATGTACCTATGGGGACAGACATTGTGTTTTATGCGGATTGAAAAACAAATGCAAATGTCTTACAAAATGTAGTATGATGTCAGACACATGTATTAATCGTGGTTTGAAAGAGTGATAAATACAGTGTATTGTAAATAATATAAAATAAAACTAACAGTAAAACTCGTTTTGAGAATATCTTGATGTCATATTTGAGTCCAAATATATGGTTTTTTTGTATAGTTAAAAGAGAGAGAGAGAAAAAACCCAACTGCTACTTATTTAGAGGGAAACAGACAGCATGCACAGGGACATATTTTTTGTTGTCATTGTGTTCGATTTTTAAATAAATGTTTAATATGTAAACGTGCTATCATGCATAGTATTTGGAACGAATTAGAAAAACCAGTAAACGATGAAATCTGATTGCTTACAACATATACGAGTTGACACATGTTCTGACTGATGGGTTGTTTCAGGTGAGCTTCTTTTCGACCAGCCCTGTTCTCAGTGTACGTGATCGCTACCCCTACTTCATGAGGACTATCCCTTCTGATGTAAACCAGGCCCAGGCCATGGTCGAACTGGTGAAGATGTTCAAGTGGACATACGTGTCTGTCGTGTACGAGGAATCAAGTTATGGTATACAGGTTAGTAATTTGGTGTTAATTCAACAAACGTATTCCCTATCTGTCTATATAACATACATGTTCCCGATATAACATACGTATTCCCTATCTGTCTATATAACATACATATTCTCGATATAACATACGTATTCCCTATCTCTCTATGAAGTATGCGTATTAACTATTTATCTTCTAGTAGACATAAACCTTATTTACACATTAAGCACACGTTCTCCCAATGTATCTGTTTTGCGTACGTATAGTCTATTTGTCTATTTTGCGTTTTTCCTATTTCTTTATCTATTTTACTTGTGGCATCATGGCATTTCGTCCATTCAATTCACGAATGTAGAATATGAACAAAACAAATCCCTTTGTTTTGTCTGTTGAGTTAACGTCCTGTGAATGAGCTTGGTAGTATTAGATGGTGAATACCTTTCTGAACAAGATGCGGGAGGACATCCAAAGTGACATATAGTGGCTTGTCCACGATCACGTCCATAACAGCAAAGTTGTTCTGAGGAGAACAACCCACCACTAGCAGGAGAATCGAACTTCGTAAATAAGACAATTACCTGCGAATTCCCACCTCCATTCTCCGTATGCTATCTTTAACGCCTCATTTAGTACTAGTCAGTAAACCATCCCGTTCACAAGCATACAGGTTAAATCTGTATGTAAAATACGTTAAGTCTTGCTGGCTATCTTTTGTTCCTTATAAAACATATAACATACATACTAAGATAACATACATAATAAAATGAGATTAATAAGATAATATACATTTGAAGATAATACTCATAATAAGATTATATTCATATTAGAATAATAAACATGATATGATGATATTCATAATAAAATAATTTTCATAATACGATAATATACATAGTATGATAATAAGCATAATATGATGGTAGATGTAATAAGATGATAGATGTAATAAGATGATAGATGTAATAAGATGATAGATGTAATAAGATGGTATATGTAATAAGATGATAGATGTAATAAGATGATAGATGTAATAAGATGATATATGTAATAAGATGATAGATGTAATAAGATGATAGATGTAATAAGATGATAGATGTAATAAGATGATAGATGTAATAAGATGGTAGATGTAATAAGATGGTAGATGATAGATGTAATAAGATGATATACATAATATGATGATAGATGTAATAAGATGGTATGTAATAAGATGATAGATGTAATAAGATGGTATATGTAATAAGATGGTAGATGTAATAAGATGATAGATGTAATAAGATGGTATATGTAATAAGATGGTAGATGTAATAAGATGATAGATGTAATAAGATGATAGATGTAATAAGATGGTATATGTAATAAGATGATAGATGTAATAAGATGGTAGATGTAATAAGATGGTAGATGATAGATGTAATAAGATGATATACATAATATGATGATAGATGTAATAAGATGGTAGATGTAATAAGATGATATATGTAATAAGATGATAGATGTAATAAGATGATAGATGTAATAAGATGATAGATGTAATAAGATGATATATGTAATAAGATGGTAGATGTAATAAGATGATAGATGTAATAAGATGATATACATAATATGATGATAGATGTAATAAGATGGTAGATGTAATAAGATGGTAGATGTAATAAGATGATAGATGTAATAAGATGATAGATGTAATAAGATGGTATACATAATAAGATGATAGATGTAATAAGATGGTAGATGTAATAAGATGATAGATGTAATAAGATGATATATGTAATAAGATGGTATACATAATAAGATGATAGATGTAATAAGATGATAGATGTAATAAGATGATAGATGTAATAAGATGATATATGTAATAAGATGATAGATGTAATAAGATGATAGATGTAATAAGATGATAGATGTAATAAGATGATAGATGTAATAAGATGGTATACATAATAAGATGATAGATGTAATAAGATGGTAGATGTAATAAGATGATAGATGTAATAAGATGGTATACATAATAAGATGATAGATGTAATAAGATGGTAGATGTAATAAGATGATAGATGTAATAAGATGGTATACATAATAAGATGATAGATGTAATAAGATGGTAGAGTAATAAGATGATAGATGTAATAAGATGATAGATGATATATGTAATAAGATGATAGATGTAATAAGATGATATATGTAATAAGATGATATATGTAATAAGATGATAGATGTAATAAGATGATATATGTAATAAGATGATATATGTAATAAGATGGTAGATGTAATAAGATGATATATGTAATAAGATGATAGATGTAATAAGATGATAGATGTAATAAGATGATAGATGTAATAAGATGATAGATGTAATAAGATGATAGATGTAATAAGATGATAGATGTAATAAGATGATAGATGTAATAAGATGGTAGATGTAATAAGATGGTAGATGTAATAAGATGATAGATGTAATAAGATGGTATACATAATAAGATGATAGATGTAATAAGATGATATATGTAATAAGATGATAGATGTAATAAGATGATATATGTAATAAGATGATAGATGATATATGTAATAAGATGATAGATGTAATAAGATGATATATGTAATAAGATGATATATGTAGATGATAGATGTAATAATAAGATGATAGATGTAATAAGATGGTAGATGTAATAAGATGGTATGTAATAAGATGATAGATGTAATAAGATGGTATACATAATAAGATGATATATGTAATAAGATGATATATGTAATAAGATGATAGATGTAATAAGATGATATATGTAATAAGATGGTAGATGTAATAAGATGGTAGATGTAATAAGATGATATATGTAATAAGATGATAGATGTAATAAGATGATAGATGTAATAAGATGATAGATGTAATAAGATGATAGATGTAATAAGATGATAGATGTAATAAGATGATATATGTAATAAGATGATAGATGTAATAAGATGGTAGATGTAATAAGATGATATATGTAATAAGATGATAGATGTAATAAGATGGTATACATAATAAGATGATATATGTAATAAGATGGTAGATGTAATAAGATGGTAGATGTAATAAGATGATATATGTAATAAGATGATAGATGTAATAAGATGATATACATAATAAGACGATATATGTAATAAGATAATATACGTAACGAAATATGGCCGAAAACGAGTTTATCATAACATCAGTGAAGACTGAAATATTTCTGCTTGATGGTAAATAATTTGTAATGACTTATGCTCTTCTGTAGATAGAGGGGTCGATTGGTTGATTGAAACTGAGTTTTCATTATTCACCGATAAACTAATTTTAAATAAGTGTATACTGTCTGTTAGTTTGGAGTGGGCCTTAGCGAAATGACCTATTAGAAAAGATTGGCATATTTAACCTACATGATTAGAAATCGGGCTATTTTCGTGCATAGTGTGTGTGTTTGGCGAAGCAAAATAGGTCGATGACCGTTAAAAAAATGACCAATGTACAGCCTTGACCATGGACGACAACCAAGTTAGTCATATGTTTGATTAAACCTTTTATCTTCATTGGTAAATCTTCTGCTAGCTTGATTGATGTAAATATTATTATAATTGAAGATACTTAAAGCTTCACGGGTATAAGAGAATAGTAACACAAAGTCTCTGTCAACACAAGTAAAATAATGATATAAAAAATGTCCAAATTAAGTGAGGGACACATCAGTATAGTAGTTGTCATCCGTGTTTGTTTTCTAGCTTTATCGTCCCGTTAACAGCCAGGGTCATTTTGTAGCGGGGTCTCCTTGTAGCCTCTAGATACCTTACTGAACAACATACAGGAGGCATGTTGCTCGCCAACCAATGCAATTGGGCAAAATCGGAGAGTTACGATGTGATGCTCGATGGTGACATTTTGAAAGATTTTTAAAGCTTTCTGGTGACCAGGATTTTGTCGCGGTAGTGTCGTAGGAATGGGTTGTAAACATAGTGACAGTAGTTGTTAGCGATGGAAAGCATGTTTGTCAGCTGGATGAGAGCTGGTTTACAACCATTGTCGTAAAGGACGTTGTCTTAGTATTTACAAACACGACAATGGTCATTGGACCCGTGTATACATAGTCGGTGCCCTTCGCTCATGTGACCATACTATACATTATCTTTTTTTCTGATAGTTATGTTTTCCGTTCATGAATGGTTATTAGATATTCTGCCAACAAATCTAACCGTTGTCCGATAGTGGGAGAGGGCCTTGACCGCTCTATCATATGTAGGTGTTTGCTGATGTTCCGAATAATGCCAGTCAATATTTAACAGCGAGAGGTCATCTGTCCATCATGTAGAAATTCGAGCAAATAAGTTAATAACTCTTCATGGTTGCGGCCTTGGTAGTTAATTTAAATAACTTGTGATCTACACATTGTGGTGACGTCAGAAACAGTTCTGAACATAGAGCTTGAGTATTGTATGTATAGAGAGTACAAGGAGAAAAGCAGCATATAAAAGGACCTCGGTTTAATAGTACAGAAACAAAATCAGAACCTGCTTCAGTTTACAGCGAACACAACAAGTGCTTTACGGCGAAATTCAAAGTAGTTAGAAAGCCTTACAAATCCAACAAATCGCAAATGTTTCGCCTTTATCTCAGCACGAAATGTGAACCTCTTACCATTTCATTGCATAAAATTTATCTTGACCGGCAAATCATTTTTCAGTTTGTCACACAGAAAGGAAGTATATTCAAAGTATAAATAATTAAATTGATATAACAAACATCCACATTAATTATTTGAAACGCATGATATCAACCCTTGTTAGAAAATACAAATTGAACCAATCAAAGCAAGAGCACAATTCATCTCTTGTTTACATGACTTCCAGTTGAAGGCTCTCGGAGCCTTCGGCCCGTTCTGTAAACAAGAAAAACATCGTCTGTTACTTGGAAGATCCCGAATCTTGTCAAATCGCACAGCTGTAAAAGTTAGTTCAAAATAATATGTACACTAAATATATCTGTGTAAATGTGCATCCTCTTGATCAAATTT